ATTTATTCTCCCGAATCGATTGGACGGGATGCAATACCTAGACTTTGTACGCAACATTTTGCCTTCCTTGTTAGAAGATGTGCCATTAAGTGTAAGACAATCAATGTGGTTTCTGCACGATGGTCATATTTGTTACCTCTGTTCGTGGTCTGCACCAACGCCGGAGTCTGCTCGGTACTGCATCAGCTGATTTCATTTTCTGTTGGAGCGGTATGATTTCGGGCAGAGACGTACTTAGCCCTTCTCGTCAACTGGAGAGTGAGTGCTTTTTCCTTTATTTCTTTTTACTTGGTCGCCCTCGTTTCACTACACATTACCTTTGTTATTTCAAGGGTAGTTGTTTCTGAAAAGGAAAACCCCAACTTTGCGGACACCCTATATATATATAGGGTGTATATATATATATAGGTGAAAAAATTGAAGCTTCCGCCTTTTGCTGGGTGTGTTTGGGCGGATGCTTTAATTTTTCACCTAACTGGTCTAGACGACAATGACCACGTCTCAAGTTATATATATATATATATATATATATATATACTAAGTGACATATAAATCCGAACACCCAGTTTAAATGGTTTTATTTTAATAAAATTTTGTATAAGTACTTAATGAAGCATAATAAGTAAATGATAAAAATTTCAAAACGATTGAACTGGTTTAAAGCACTTTGACCTTTAATAATGTGTGGATGCACCCTGATGTGCTACGCATTCTCCACGCGCCTAGGCATGCTTCTGATCAGGTGGTCAATGTCCTCCTGTGGTATCTCATTCCAGGCAACCACCAACTCCTCTCGAAGTGCTTCTAGAGTCTGAGGAGGACGTTGCAAATTGAGTAATCTCCTCCCCATCATATCCCACACGTGCTCAATTGGGGATAAGTCGGGAGATCTTGGTGGCCATGGTAACAATGTGACATCATTATGTTGAAAGAAGTCTATTGTGACTCTTGCAACATGTGGTCGGGCATTATCTTGTTGGAAAGTTGGATCTGCCAGGGTGTCAAGATAGGGTAAAAGATGGGGTTCTAGAACTTCGTGGATATAACGCTGCGCGTTCATGTTACCTCTGATGAAGATTAAAGGTGACCTGGAACCATAAGCTATAGCACCCCAAACCATAACTCCAACAGTGTGATGAACATGTCTTTCAACAAAAAACTGTGGATTCCTCCTTTCACCACGTCGCCTTCTTACCCTGGCACGACCATCGTGCATGCCTAAACAAAATCGAGACTCGTCACTAAAGACAATACTGTTCCATTCCTGATCCCAGAGTGACGGTTGTCTGCACCACTCAAGGCGATTACGTCGGTGTTCTCGAGTTAAAGGGAGGACCCAGTGTGGCCGGTATGAAAACAAGCCAAAACTTCTCATTTGTCGGTAAACACTTCGCATGCCAATAGGTCTTCCGTGTTCTGCAAACCATTCATTTGCAATGGACCTGGTAGTGGAGAAACGGTCCCTTAAGTCCAATAATCTTAGGCGGCGATCTTCACGGTCTGTTGTTCTACGGCGGCGTCCAGTGCCCCTTGCTCTTTGCGTACGGCCTTCTCGAAGCCATGCCTGACAACACCTAACCACAGTGTCTACACTTCTTTGCACTCTAACTGCAATTGCCCGAAAAGAAAGTCCAGCTTCCCGAAGTCCCACTATACAGCCCCTATCAAGTTGACGAAATCGTACAGGTCTCCGTACTCTAGGCATCGTAACCGATCGTAAAGGATGTCAAGAAGCAAAATCCGCCAACGTTGATTCTTTACTGCGGCTGAAATATTCATTTTTAGAGCGTTAGTGAATTAAAAAAAAGCAGTATAAAAACCGGAATGTCCAACTGATAAGGCTGACAATTTTTTCACTTGTTATTTACAGTAAGATAAATACATTCACCAACTTTTATTAAAATAAAACCACTTAAACTGGGTGTTCGGATTTGTCGCTTAGTATATAGAAGTTGAGTCATTAATTTTCAGATAATGCTTGTAGAAGGAAGATAAACCGAAATATGTGTGTAAAAATAAAAAAAAATTAAAAAAAATTTTTACCTTGTTTTATAAAGTATCCTCCCGACAAGTATTTCAGTGCGGACCTGTATTTGATCGTGAGGTCCTGGAGCACCGGCATGCCGTCACCTGATTCACGAGCCCGTTGTACTACATTAACAAAGGCACGAGGGTTTGGTTGCACTCGATTGGGAAACCGATCCGCATAAACATGTGCCATTTTTTATTTCGTTTGAGCCACGCAACAGACACCACTATTCACTCACGCGTTACCGACTGACACTGACTGTATACAAATGAATAAAATAATTGTAAAAACATCGATCCAAATTCTTTCGCTTTTTTGTTTCCGATGCGATGAACCGATAAGGCGGATTATATCCGTTGTCGCCAACACGAGCACATATAGTGGATACCAAATAAAACCCGATGCACGTCATCGATCTGGAGCTGTGCGCTGTTGCCAGAATTTGCACATTTTCTTTTAATTTATAAATAAATTTAATAAAATAAATTGTTTATATATACCTACCATTTACTATAATACCATTATATTAAAAATAAATAAACTTGTTGTAAAATTAAATTCCTTTCTGAATAAAAACACCTGATTTGGTAGATATTCAAAAACACAAAATATTTAAAGAACATAAATTGTTTTCTCGTATTTTAATTAATTTGATTATTTATTTATGTTATGGGAACTACAACACTTTTTCAATTCACATCAAAGAGAAGAAAGAACTCGGGTGATGCGATGTTACACAATACCGGCAACTAGCGGCAAGGAGTACTCTTTATCGAGCCTGATATTAACCGCATGGTATGGTTTAGTTGTATATCAATTCCGGAGTTTGATTACATTATACAGAATATATTTTGATGTTTTAACTATTCTGAATCACTGGAATCAGTAGAGTCATCGTTAACATGGATAATAAGGGGAAGAATTTCCTGTCTATCCATTACTTGTTCCCTTCTATACCATTTCATAATTATCTCCTCTGTATGTCTAATGGAGTTCTTCCACATATCAGGGGTAATAGTTTGGAGTGCCTCTTGCCACATTTTTAGGCAGTCATTTTCAGTGTGGCCTTCTCTGCCAATATGCCGATTATAGTAATTTTTTGCAATCCCCCAAATTAGCTCAATTGGGTTAAAAATACAGTGGTACGGAGGTAACCGTAAAACTTTATGTCCATATTGTTCTGCCAAGTTATCGACCACATACATTTTGGTTGGTTTATTCCTAAAAAAAATGAATAGGAACAAAATGCATAAAGATTGGGTATTCTGCTCACTGTGCAACAATCGTTAGAAGTACAGATTTGAATGCTTCATGTGGATACTGTATTTTTTGTTCAGTTAACCAATTCTGAATTTCAGCCTTTCTCCATGAGCTATTGGGAGTTTTTACTAATAACATGCTATGGTATGATGCATTATCCATAACAATCACAGAGGGTTGGGTCAAGCTTATTAGCAATTGATTTTCAAACCAATATAAAAAGTTTTTCTGGTTCATTTCACCATGGTAATCATTAAGCTGGGTTTTCGATGAAAATATGAGCGACGCACCTTCAACAAATCCATTTTCATTGCCAGCGTGAACTATGATATACCTACAAATGCATTTCATTTTTATATAGGGCTTATTTTTCTATACATTTGAAAGCCCACCTTTTTCCATCAACTTTGGTACTTCTAACACTTCGCTTGTCATTATCTTGCCATGAACAGTGAACGGTACCATTTTGGAAAATCCAAGTCTCATCTAAGAAGACAAACTAATAAATAGCCTCTTGTTTATTTTGTACGTATGATCTCAAAAAACTAACACGTTTAGATGCAATATTGGGAAGTTCTCGTTTGGGGTTATCTTTCTCCCATTTGAAGCCTATTTCTTCTAATAGTCTGCTTAACGACATACGACTGCCCTCAAATAATTGCTCAGCTTTTAATTGCTCCCACAAGCCAGACAGTGTTACATGTTGTTCTACAAAAAAACAATTATACATTCTCTAATTCAAAATATGTTTGTTGGGCAACTTACTGTTTTCATACATGTTGTAAATAGTATTACGAATACCACTTGTATTGAGCCTTGAAATATTAGTGACTCTCTTTGGAGTACATCGTTTTTTAGGAGGCGATTGCAAAACTATTTTTGACTGCCTGTGAAATACCACTTATAGTAGACACATTTAATTTCAATGCTGCTGCTACACGCTAAAAATAAGAAAAAGAAGATTAACCTTAATGTTCCTATTACTTATGCTATCAACAAGCGTAAACTCATCTCCCTTACAGCAGTTAAAGGCAAAAGTGGGCCATTATTATCCCTTTCCCGTTCGAAGTATTCTAATAAGCATGATATGAGCTCTTTACACCGACTGTTAAGTTGTTTTGGCATTTTGGATACTTTACACCACTTCACAGTAACTGTTGTTCTGAAAAGAACAATTTTTAATTGGCAAGGCAACGATTCAAAGCTCAAATAGCGCAAAACTCAGAAACTAAACAATAAAGAACAAAGAACTAATAGTACGACAAAAAGACAATGGCAACTGATGTCAACAAATGAGAAGTGGCAACCTCGCATTTCTCTGCACGGCACTACCAACCGAATCGAGACGGGGAAATTTAAACTTCAAGTAGAAATGTCACATTGAATGTAGTCAACTGTTGGTAACCATGATTTTTATGAATGACATCACCTATGACGTGCATCGGATTTTATTTGGTATCCACTATATTATTATTGAGACAGGGCGGTACTCAAACTTCCAAAGGGCTATAACTTTGTTACTTTAATTTTACCAGAAAAATGGTAAAGGAAAAAACATTTCTTTTGATCAGATCTGCTCACTGTTAAAATAAATGACTCAACTTCGAAGTAAAAGTAAAAGTATAGCAATCTCAGATTTATATGTAGAGCTGGCAATGTTGCGGGATATTAATGAACAATCTGCCAACCCTGTCGCACCCTCAAAAAATGGCCGCTGACAACCACACAAGTCACCGTGTTGCCATTTAATAGTAGAATTAAATCTTCTTCAGTGTATATGTTTTGTGTTTCCTAACCTCAATAATCTGTCCCTCAACGGTCAACGCAGCGGCTTAACCCGAACTTCCCTGTTTGCATTTACGATTTCCTTGTATGCTTTTAGCACTTTTAGTTTAGTGTACACTGGAGATGTTATAAACTATGTATGAAACTTAATAGGCAGACTTATATAATAGTATTACCACGGTGAACGTTCAGTATGCCTTCATTCTTCGTAATAGTAATTAACCTGTCCAATTTCTTCACTGACCATAGGCGGCTAGCTAGATTATGTGTAAATGAAGCTATCCAAACAATCGGAGATTTTCAAAATAGAATTAGCGATATATTCAGCATCCACGACTTCCACTTACTGTGTAATAATCACTTCTTACCTCCGACTGAAGATGTACATATCGTCAAAGCAAATGAGCTCATTTGGTAAGCCTTTTTGTTTTATTAATTCATAACAAACAAAAAGCAGGGGTTGTACCGGTATAACTGAATTTCTGTATGGCCTGCGGGCCATATGCTCATAGTTGCAGTTAGTGTGCGAGTTCCCAGTATGAGTATGTGCTGTAAGACATTTTTTCTTCGATTCATTGCAGACAGCAGGTGTACACATTCAGGGAGAGACTGTCCATGCTTGATACACTTCAGAAAATCTGTGATCCCAGTTTATTGGAGACTTCCTTTTCTATTTCTTTTAAGAATCAATCAGTCAATAACAATTTCACCAATAAACTCTCATTCCTTATGGCAGTTGTAGTACTATGCTGTTCAGGTTTTGCTCTTATTTGTTCAAGTATAAATTAGAAGAATCAATTGATGTTTCAGTTTTGTTGCTTGACAAATACAAAATGTGTGAACAAATGTGGTTGGATATTCTTTTATGTTCTTATTTTATAACTGCTTAACTGAAGTGCAAATCTCTATATGATGACTATCATGTTGGATGCAACTTGCAGGATATTTCATCATGGAATTTTTTTGTCTTTTTTTTAATAAATTGTAGAAATCGCAGGGTATTTTGTTAATAGCTCTGAAAGGTTGAGAATTTAATATAACTAACCAGCAAAAGTTGAAATAACAGTTTCTTATTCGGACTCTTATGAAGCTTGTCCTCTAACAGCATAGTGCTTAAAAAGTCACACTACTGCATTACGTCCAGAAAAATATCTGTCATTGATTTGATTTATTTGCTGCTCTTAGAAAGCTGAAGTTTGAGATTGGGTTTTACTTAAAGTTTCATAAACCAAAATATCTCTCTGAACTATTAAACTTGATATATTACACATGGGGGCTGTTTCAATCTGTTTGAGGTTTTACCATATGTTTTCCTGTGATCCATCTATAACTTTACAGCCTCTATGGTATCACTTGGAACACCTTCACTCTATACAATTTTTCAAAACTAGGTTCTTAAATTTTTCTTGCCTTGTGTTATTTCAGGATAGTCTTTGGCAAATTCCTTGCAAGGGCAAAATGTGTGGACATCATTTTGAATACATGTCTATAGTTAATGTAATAAAACTAACTCTAATATTTTTTGTAGATAATAATAATAACTTGTTGAATGTTCTTAAATTAACTTTTCACTGTTTTGACTGCTAGCTATTCACTCCTTAACTGAATGGTCTCTACCCAAATGATTCAAAAATCTGTTATGTAATTCATAGATTTTTATATTTTTTCAGAGGGCAATGAGTGAAATTAGGTTTTCTTACCCTAAAATTTCACAATTCAGTTGGTCATCTCAAAACCTATTTGTCATATTTTTGCAACATGCTTTTTTTAAAAAGTCATCCGTTAAGATAAATGCATATTCTGTGTAAAAACTATGCAAGTCAATGCTTTCCTTCATCTTTAGATAGTACCATCTAGTAGCATTGTATAACAACATAAGTTGGTGTACTACTAGGTGGTGGGAGTATGAGAGTAATGAGAGAGAATATGATTGGAGAATAATTCTAATGCAACATTTCAATGAAACACAAATTTGTACATCATACTTTGACACCCTGTAGTAACAAAGGAATGAAATAGGATTACAGTGCCAAATACTTTTAAAAGTTGTATATTTAATGTGATTTCCAGAATGGTACTGTTTTCGAAAAGAATGCTTTTATGATACAAATAGAGAATAAGGGGCAGGACTTATGTTGTAATGGTAAGTTTCTATCAAATTCTCTAAACTAGGTGCTCAAAGTGGTCACCATAGGACCTTATGCATGCCCTGTACCTTTTAATACATGATTCCCCCTATCCCCTGTATCCCCCTATAGCCCCATGGAACCCTATGGGTGCTTAGGCCTTAGGCCTTTGTGGTAATTGGAGAGTAAAAAAAAGATCCTTTTCTGAGGCATCCAATCCATTTTCTTGGATAATATTGATTTCTTGTTGTCTATATCTCCAAGTTTTATAGTGAATGTTCGATCACTGCCTTTTTATATGATTATGTCTTTTGAGATTGCTGATCTTCACATTTAAACAGAGTGCTTATGTTAGGTGGTTCATTATGTCTGCATATTGGTACATGTCGAGCCAATACCAATCCTACCATGTAGAGCATTCACCAGAAAGGTTTCCTCACTGTTGTATTTTTTTGTTGTTGAAGATATCTCAATTGAGATCCTAACTAAGATCACATGATCAAAAGCTTTGAATATCAAATAGAGGTGGTCTTTATATTATAGTTGGGTGGTAAAATTTGATTCACCACCAAGGAAAATTTACACAAGGGATACTTGCGCAAGATATGTAGGATAATGGCTAATGGTGGTCAATCTGAATACTTTCTCTACTGATTATAATAAAAAAAATCATCATTAAGTCAATCCTGACATTACCTCTTATTCGCGTCATAAAAGCAGTTTTTTGATTTTCTACAAACGTGACGAATTTAAATAAAAATTGCTATAGGAAAGAAAATAGCAAACAAAATATTGGACAATATTACCATTGCAAGAAGGGTATTAAATAACTAACTTAGTTGGCACTGTGATCCTTGGCCATTCTTTGTTACTACAGGGTGTCAAACTTATGACATTTAAATTAGTTTTCATTGGAATATTGCACTAGAGCAATTCTCTTGTGGATTCTGCTATAACATACAAATAAAGCAACACTGATTTCGATGAGACTCATCTTGTGGTTTTCATGTTGATAATCCCCCATGTTTGTCTGGCCAATCAGAACCAGATATGCTTCAAACTCTTCTTTGTCGAACGACGTTTCGGTCCCAACGATTACCTCCAAGGTCAATTGAAATTTATTGACAATATATTTAATTTATCTGGGCGACACTACGTTTGTTTTTTAATTTCATTACCACATATTCTTATCAGTGTGTTACTACCACAGTCTGAAAGGTCCTATAACATGCTGAGATTACGGGAAGCCATCATTGTAACTTTAAGATGACACCGCGCAAAACCAGCAAAGCCCAGGACCACCTTGGGTCGGTATTACCGTTCAGAAAAGGACGTCCAGATATTAAATCATGCAGAATTGAAACATGTGACATGTCCTTAAGTCGATATTAAGTGTAATGTTTGCATAATTTTCACCATTTCCAGAAGTTTGATTAAATTGAAGCTTCGCACACGTATCAAGGACTGATGACAATGCAATAATTTGATAACAGTTTTCCATTATCCTTATTAGGACCGCCAGGATTGATAAATTCTTTTATCGATCCTCTGTAGGGGAGTAAGAGGGATAGAGCTAGCGCGCGATCTGCGCGTGCGTGCAGTTTCGGACTTGTTGCTTGGGCACTCGGCACGGCACAACGGAGGCAGATACTTTCAATGTATTGTGCATTCTCACCTTGTTCATTGCGAATGTCGCCACTAATCGAGTTGGGTTTCGACCGTCCACAAAGATGCAAGGTTGTACAGTCGATCATGCAGTCATCTATCTAGGCTCGTGACTGTTTTCTGCTGGACAAGCTTATGTAGCATTTAGTCGTGTAACATCTTTAGACGGTATTCGGATTGAAGAACTTGTTTACTATAAGTTAACAGGAAAAACCCTATGCAACAGTGAAGCTTTAAATGAAATGATTAGATTCCGAAATGATTCGTAAGACATTTCAATACCACATGTCCACAAAATAATTGAAAAATCGAACTAAAAAATGAAAAATAAATAGTATTTTAAAAAAACAAAAAAACACGCTTTTATAGCTTACCGAACTAAAAAGTAGAAAATAATTATGAATTACAAAGAGTTTATATTACAGTAGTATATGGTCAAACAATCAATCACAATTAATGACCCCAAAATAAAATTATAATAAAATTTAAGTTATTAACAGAATAATAATAATAATAATAATAATAATAATAATAATAATAATAATAATAATAATAATAATAAATAATCCAGAGTAAAAAGCGTGGGGTGCTTGATACATTAAATGTTAGAATCATTCTATTGGAACTATCTATGAGAGGAGAGCTATGACCATGTAATAAAATGCACCACACGTTTTTGACACTGAATTAAATTATTCTGTTAATAACTTAAATTTTATTATAATATTATTTTGCGGTCAGTCATTATGATTGATTGTTCTACCATCTATCATAATATGAACTCTTTGTAATTACAAATTATTTTCCACTTTTTAGTTCGGTTAGCTATAAAGGCGTGTTTTTTAGTTTTTTAAAATATCATTTATAGTTATTGTAAGCTGAAAAATATGATTAATATGCCTAAATTATCAATAACCATCACATTTCTTACTAAAACAAGATAAGTCGTCAAGAAGTGGTTTTCTTGCTTTCAACATTTCAACTCAGACACTATAAATCCAAAAAAGTCCTTTCAAACTCGTTTGTTTGTGGATGTTAAAATCTTTGTTTCCTGAAAAATTCAACTGGTGTGATTCATGAGATTTTTTAATTGACTAATTTAATTGTACTGAATATGTAGTACAAAAGCCATACAGTGTTTGACTGTTTTTGACTTCATTATAGTTATAATTTATTTGGCGTCAACACATTATTTAGGACGAAAATTAATTTCATCTAAATCATTTCTGCATTGCATATAGGTTATTTGGAATATTCATTGAGTTGCTCAAATACACATAAGTTATTCTAAAAAAAAGAATTACTACCTCAGATACCTTGGAGGCATTATCAATACTTTCATGAAGCAGACCAAGTGGATATGTTACAAACTGGCATCCAAATTCTCTAACACTTATTGAAAAATCTTTCAAAATTTTGAGTCTCCACTAAAAATGAATCATTTTACAGGGTCATGCCTAATCCGGGTAACACTACAGCACAACAATCTATAATCGATATGCCTATCACACCATTACACCACTCAAGTGTATCTTACAGAAAAAAAAAATATAGTGAGAATGAAAAAAGAAAATTAGTTGATAGAGACGAAGTGAATGCTGACCACAGTACTGAAGATACCTCAGAAAAGACAAAAGGTACGCTTATTGCAAATGGTGTTACCAACAATATCAATAAAAGTGTGGATCATGAGGCTGAATGGAAAACTATTGGAAATGAAGATAACAATATTGAAGATGAATTCCCTAGAAGTAAGAAGAAGAAAAGGAAAAATATGCTTATGCAGAGTGGTGAAAGCCCTTTTCATCCTGAATTAAATGAAGAGAAAAATAAGGTTATTGTAAATGAGAATGACAACAATATTCAAGAGTTTGTAGGTCCTGAAATAAAAAATAAAGATACTCTGAATGAACCTGACAAGGATATTGAACAGAGAGTCCCCAAAAGAAATAAGAGTAAGAAAAAGAAAAATAGTCCCATGAATTACATGGATTTAGAGGAGACAGTCCCCAAAAGAAAGAAGAAGAAAGAGGAAAGTATGTTCATGAAGTACATGGATATCAGTACATTTGTAAATTTAGAGAAAAATAGTAAGAATCATGTTAAGCTTAACATATTAGATCATTGAAAAACTGTAGATTTTCATATGGTTGTCTGTCTGCTAAATGAAACCATATGTATATATGTTTGAAATACTGTTTACTGATAAAGTTTCTGCCACAATGCAGGCCTTTTTCAGGTATATAGTTTGATAATTCTGACAATATATTTTATTAGCGTGTCTTCTAGGTAACACTTCGTTTGTACACGAATATGAAAATCAAAGAAAAAACATATTGTGCTGTCATCAGTACAAAATATTTCAAGCATGTGGTTCCACTTAGCAGCCATATAAACATGGGGGATTATTAGCATGAAAACCACATAAGTTTCAGGTGTTATATTAATTGCAGATTGTATAGTTACTGACAAAGAAGAAAATGAACGTACGTCAGCTTTATCAAATATAGGAAGCAATCGAAAGGTTTGTGAAGGAGATCTAGCATCATATACAAAGAAACAACCAGTACCTATGACAACAGACGAATATTTAAAAGAGAAAAAAATTAATATAGTAAGAATCGATTATATTACATCAAAAGATATACCTGACAAAAGTCAGTGTCTGAGTTCAAAATCCAATACAGATATTCCAATCAGTACACCAAAGGTATCATTGACAACAAATACATTACCCATTAAATTTGCATCTGAGCTCACATGCATCAAAGAGAGTAATTCAGTGGATTTTCAAAAAGAAATTTGTACTAACTCTACAGACATTATTGTAAATTCTCAGGATAAACAGATGGCATGTGAACCACCAGATAAATGTCCTGATAGAAGAATTGAAAACAAACAAAATGGAGATTCCAAAGATTCTAAACAAGAAAGTGTAATGGTATCAGAGGGAACTGAATTTAATAATGCATACAATAATATTGAGCAAAATCCAATAATAGATATAAAAACTCCACAGAAGAAAGAGTACTCTTACAAAGAAGTATCTCCTTTGAGTGAGTCTATGCTGTCTTTTCTTGCCCGTTATGACAGTAACATGGAATCAACTCAGTCTATTAAAGTAGATGATGTACATGAAAAAAGTCCATTTGTGTCAGGTTGTCACTGGATCCAATCTGAAAATCGAACCGTAAAACATAAGGAATTATGTGGTGTGGGTGAGTTGAATTTTCGTATCAGTTATTCTTAATTTTCCCGCCAATTAACGAAGGATGTATTGTAATAGTGGAAATTTTATGCTATAAATCTTTGATTCATCATCAGTATAGGTGATTAATTGATTTTGATGAAATAGACATTCTGCAAGACAGTTTCCTACAATAAGAGCGAAAGAAAAATGGAGTTGTCGTCGCACACGTGCCAATTTGACAATCCAAACTTTTCTCTCCAACTTTCATGTGATCGTATTATTTCATATTTTAGAATTTTCCTGAATATATGACAGTGCTATATTTGCCATTTCAGTACGAATTCGTGCAGATCAAGATTCTTTTACAGTTAATTTCTGGCTGCATTTTAGTGTTATTCTTATCCATCTGGATTCATTAAGGAATGAGAGCAATTTCCAGTTTTGCTCCCGGTAGGCGGCACTTGTCTAGTTGGCGGTCAAACCAAACAGTAGTAATATCAAGAGAAGACACTTTGTGAGATGCCTTTATAACACTGCGGTCGGCCTCGTTAACCTTGGGAGTCATTTGCTTTATAGTAGGAAGCCGATTGTAAATTTTTTGTTATATCATCGCATACTTGTTGAATTTGTTGTTTAGCATCAAAATAACTTACTGAGTTTGCTGTTTAGCATCAATATACGTGAGATTTGACTAGTCTTACTTCCCACGCCTACTGGCGGGGAAGTGTTGAAATCGCGAGAATTTCCTAAAATGAGATGTTCTTTTGGATGTTACGTACACGGTGGCCAACTAAGAATGCGAGGTGTGGTATCTGGGAATCTATCCATCGTAGAGGCTTATTAGTAAAACGGTCAAGAAAAAAATCTGGAAAATATTTTCAAGTTTCTGAAACAGCCGCTGCAATCTTGAATCTAAAAACGTGATGTTTCTGTGAATTCCGCTATATTAACCTAACAAAAAAATACCTGATCTTCAAATTCGGAGATAATCTGAACTTTTTTTGTTTGACAATTTTTTGTTGTAACTCTAAAAATTATGTGGGGAGGGAAGGTGGGTATTCAAACGTTTCCGTAAAAAACACCCTGTATCTTCGAAACCATTTCTGTCAGAATGTCGAAAAAAGCCTTCTAGCGGCCACAGGTGAAACTAACAAAACGTCATATATTATAACATTTGTAGTAGCCCAAGAATAGCTCTTTCCAACTAGCCCAAGTTTGTTAAAATCGGCTCAACCATTTCGAAGACTCAAGGTGTGAAATCTTTGAATAGCCCCCATCACTTTATTTTTAGAGACTTAGCAAAAATTGTCAATCAAAAAAGTTCACATTATCCTCGACTTCAAAGATCAGGACTTTTTTGTTAGGTCAATATAGCGGAATTAACAGAAACATCACTTTTAGATTCAAGATTGCAGTTCTGTCCCCTAGCGGCCATTTCAGAAACTTGAAAATATTTTCCAGATTTTGCTCTTGGCTGTTTCAGTAAGAACTTTTTTTGCCGCAAGCCTTTACGATGGATAGGTTCCTAGATACAGCACCTCGCATTCTTAGTTGTACAGGGTACATCACGAAAAACCATGTCACTCATTTCCGTCGGTCTGTCTGTCGGATTATCCGCTAATTTTTTAACCGCCTATAACTTGAGAGATACCGCTCGGATTTCGATGAAGTTTTTACACAATCTTACTTCTCTGCCAAGGACGCAGAAGCTTTGCAGTTTTTGAAAGTCATTTGGCGGCAGAGAAAATGGCCAAAAACGATAAAGAATTGAATCTCTGTTTAACGTTTCAGAGGACCCTGATCATTTTTGAAAAAAAATTTTATAGATAATAAACTGAGAAGGTTTATATCAATTTCTTGATGTCATTACATTTATATGCTCCCAACCTTAGAATTATGCGCACCTATCAGACATATTACACACATCATAGATTTCTCAGTACTCAGTTCTGTACTGTTGTTCTGGTTGGAGTTATCTCTTATCTCTCTCTCTAATTTTATTGACCTTGTTTGCCTTCTCTTCATATAACTAGTTTTTGGTCAAACTGTCGAAAATAGATGGAAAACAAAACGATTTGTTAGAAAGGTAACCTATTTTCCACTTTATTTTGGTTTGACGTCTATTGACGTGAACAAAGCTGATCAGCAATTGACAGCTTGTCTGATTATAACCTTAGACATGACCTCCAACCTCCCTAGCGCGATCTAATTCGAGATTCAAATTATCCTTCATTATATCAAAATCAATCATCGCGACCAAACGTCAAGCAATAATCGTTACGTAAAGGTAGCACGCCAACTTATGCCTTTTTTTTCCGAGCTAGCTTGCTCAAGCTAATTTTGGAAACTATAAACCTCATCCTTTTCAATAGTGCAACCTATTTACGGTGTTTTGCGAGCAAGAGTGTGCTTTCTATCGTATTTTGTCTTCATTTAATAAAATATCAAATGAGCGGGCGACCCACTTTTTTGAATTAGTAACTCAATGTTATTCTGGATTCGTTTTCAAATAAGTAGCTGTTTCAAAAAAATGCGAAGGGAAAAAGTCTATCGGAAATGTTTTTTTGTTCGAGATGGCAGCTGTTCACGTGAGCTACAAATTCGTCAGAATAGTTTTTGAGCATTGAACTTATTTTGATAAATAATTTTACATTGAATGACCTAAAAGCAAGCAGCTTGTTTGATACTATGCCGTGCATTAATAATTTGTTTATGTCTACAAACACTAAGTTCATTTTATAGACTAGAATCGTAACTGAAAAGCGTAATGGAAAGACTTTTTTTAGGTCGTTTTCTGGAAAATTTGAAACAAACTCCGAAAGTTGAACCGCAGATTGTACGACAGACTGAAGCACAGGTAACAGAAGAAATATTTGATGTAGAATCTTTTGTTACATTACGGAAAAGAAAAAGGAGTCGTCGCAGGCCAAAGAAAAATAGATTTGAGAATGATGACAGTGTGACCTTACCTCCAAAGGTAAATAGATCTTAATGTTTGAAATCATGTTTGCGTTTTGTAAATAGCTTTTTCGTTGATGTTGATAATAATGGGTGGTTCATTTATATTTCAAAATCGTAAAAAATAATAATGTTGTGTTTATTACCAAACAAAATAAGAAAGGCCAGTAGTAACAGTGGTGGGGAGGTGAAGCCTGGAAACTAGGCCAACTTTGACCCGCTTTTTTATACGGTAATGAAGATGGATCAGTAGTAGTAGTGGTGTTGAGGCGAAGCCTGGAAACTAGACCAACTTTGACTCTTTTTGCCGACCCCGTAATACCAACACTGTACTACCCCACGAGCCGTCTATTGGTAACTGATAATAATAAACCAGCTCCGGTGATGAGATGTACCTATCGTTAATATTGCAGACGAACCAAGAAACTTGATTGTTTTTTATTTTTTTGACAGACTATTCCAATGCCCAAGCTCATGATTTCCCAAGGCAGTCCAAATATTCATATAAAGTTTTGTGACGACGAAAATGAAGATTCTAACAAGGATAAGCCAGAAAATCAAGAGAATAGCAATGCCAAACACTATAGGGAATCACAATCTGAAGTGATGCAGAAAGCTATTTCCCTGAATGATATGGTACCAAAAGTAAGTAAATATTATTGCATTCAAGGTAAGAAACGTAGCAGTAGGGCTTTCCATTTTTTCCAATCATTTGGAGAAGTTTTGAAAAGTTGAAATACTCGTAGATTAGGTCTTGAATTTCCATTTTGATAATTTGTATTTTTTCATCCACGGCGTCATAGCGGAAGAATCTAATAACATTAAAGTAGAGATTATTTTGTGTGCCGGATGTTTCGGCATTCGGAAGCAGTAAAGTTTATTTTAACCCGATAATACGCGAAATGTTCATTTCCAGAACATCTGGTGGGTGGTGTTCTGCTTACAATATATTAAATTATGGAAATTGCCATGTTTAAAAATAAACTAAACAAAATAAACAATTATTCAACACTTTTTTGTAAAATAACTACAGCTGTGTGAGTGCCGTAAATACATCTATAGTTCATTTCACGTTTTTACGCAATATGTAAACAGATTTACCAATTGTACCATGTGCGGAACAGAACTTCCCTAAGAAAATTCACACTCTCTCACATTGTATCTTCAGGCATTGCTATGTTTTATATGGCTCGATACAATGTAATCTCTCACGCCCATGCCAATGGAGTTGTCGTATTGATAGTGATAAGTATAAATGTCGCAGGCTAATACGTTGACGTGAAAATTTTCAAGGCGGTGAGACAAAACTAATGTGTGAGGGAGATAGATGTATGGAATAGAAATGGACGATATCGTTTCAATATCTGTGATATCTGATAATCGTTAATTTTTGATGTCAGTGATTTAAAACCGTAACGCGATCTCGACTTTCGAATAACGATGAGATTGTGGGTATACTGAGCAAAATACCGCGATCAAATTGTATGGAGTTAACTATCTATCAAAGCCTATATGGCATGACATCCCTTCCAGTGCTATATGATTCTCAGCCTTAGCGGCTAGCGCACATGCGCATCTCTTACATTAAAACGTTGGCGGCATTTGCTAACAATCGTGATTCGTGATTTAGAAATATCAGTTACTAAATCACAGTTCGTGAAATATCTGCCATCACTAGCATGGAAGTAATTCGTGTAGTTATACTGTGACCCGCCAATAACCGTGAAAGACATATATTTCAGCATGTGAGTTCTGTTATGACTCTACCATAGTTTTGGTATAAATACAGGGTGTTTCAGTAGAACTACAGCTATCGAATACTCAAAAAGTTGACATAAGACCGTTATGAAAATTATTGTTTAAAGTATAACTGATGGGAGCGCTTCGACGAAAATATACTCAGTGACATTAGAAGTGTTACACCAGAAAAAATAATTTCTTCAACTTGTTTTTTGGCAACATAATGACTATACTTAAAGCATGCTGTGGCAACAATGTCAATGTTTTATCTTTGTTTTTGTTTACCTTTGTTGAAATGTTATTTTTTAGTTTTTGTTAAGAAAGCAGTTTCTGAGAGCTGAGTAGTACAGATATTTTTAGTTATTGCCCTATACTTTACTAGTGTTACTGGTTAGTACAAAATGCCTCGAATTTGAAGACGTCCAAATTATCACCATGTTAGCGACTTTGACAGTGGTAGAATTATTGCCTATCGAGGTGTTGGTTTGTCCTATCGTGAAATTGGCCGTAATGGTAATTGTACGGCAATCACGGTAATGCGTGTGTGTAGTGTGTGGATGGAAGAAGGTTGAGGAACACGAAGAAGGCCAACTCGTTCACTGAGGCGTACCAAAGAGCGTCCAGACAGGCGCTTCGGACAACTAGCCCTACCAGACCGTTTTGCTAATACGCGTCAGATCGCTGACCAGTGGATTGGAGATAAAGGTAGACCTGTTACTATGCGCACACTCTATCTCCGCATTCGAGCCTTTGTACTTTTTTCATACCGTCCACGGTTAGTGCTTCCTCTGACTGCGAACCACTGTCGTCAACGGTTTAACTGAAGCAGAGCAACGTTAGGAGGCAGAATGGCATAATGTCATCTTCAGCGACGAATCGTGATTCTGTCCAGGTACGCACGATGGTCGTAGAAGGGTAAGACGCCGCCATGGTGAACGGCGTGATACTGGATTTGCTGTTGAGAGGCATATACACAGGACTGTTGTAGTAATGGTTTGGGGAGCTATTGCCTATGGTAGCCGATGACCCCTTTTCTTTGCTCAAGGCAATATGATTGCTGCGCGTTATGTTGATGATGTCATACAAACCACTTCTCTGCCATATCTAGAGGGCCGTCCACACGCCCTTTTTCAGCACGACAACGGACGTCTCCATATTGCTCGACGTACAACGAACTTTTTCCAAGAAGCAGGCGTTAATGTTTTGCCGTTCACCGGATTTAAATCCCATCGAACACGTGTGGGATATGATGGGGAGGAGACTATCCACTTTGCACCATCAGCCAGAGACTCTGCCACAGCTAATCCACGAAGTTCGAGTTGCTTGGAATGAGGTGCCCCAACCAGACATCGATCTTCTCATTTTGTCGATGCCTATACGTATTCAGGAGCGCATTCAGCTGCGGGGTCGCCCAACACATTATTAATTTTTTTCTTATTACCTGTCAATAAAATTTCGTGAGAATGTTATCGTTTCATTCTTGACGTAAAAATACCTTATTGCCAAAAAATCAAGTTAAAGAAATTATTTTTTCTGGGTGTAACACTTCTAATATCACTTTTCAAAATAGTGGCAATGCTGGTTGTGCTAGAAGTACACAGACATTCACATTCCAGGATAAACAGATGGCTTGCGAACCGCCAGATAAATGCCCTGATAGAAGAATTGAAAACAAACAAAATATTGATCCTAAAGATTCTGAAGAAGAAAGTGGAATGGTATCAGGGGGAACTAAATTTAAAAATGCATCCAATAATATTGAACAAAATTCAGTAGCAGATATAAAAAATCCAGAGGAGAAAGAAAACTCTTTTGAAGAAGTATCTCCTTTGAGTAAGTCTCTGCAGAATTTTCTTGGCCTTTAATAATGTGTAATCAACTCGGTCTATTGTAGTAGATGATGTATATGGAAAAAGTCCATTTGCGTCAGGCTGTCACTGGATCCAATCTGAAAATCAAACTGCAAAACCTAAGGAATTATCTGGTGTAGGTGAGTTGTCATTTTTCGTATCAGTTACTCCTTCCCGCCAATTAACGGAGGATGTATTGTAATCGTGACAAACCTATTCCACAAATCATTGATTCATCATCAGTATAGGCGATTAATTGATTTTGACACATTCTGCATGACAGTTTCCTACCACAAGAGCGAGAGAAAATTAAAGTTGTCATCGCACACGTGCCAGTTTGATAATCCAAGCTTTTCTGTATAACCTTTACGTGAACCTAAGGCAACATTTTGGTGTTATTCTTATGCGTCCGGATTAATTCATGAATGGCAGCGATTTCCAATTTTGCTCCCGGTAGGCGGCGCTTGTGTATTCGGAGGTCAAACCAAAGAGCAGTTATATTAAAAGAAGACACTTTCTGGGATGCCTTTATCATCCGCCGGTCGGCCCCATTGACCTTGAGAGTCATCTGCATTATAGGCCGACTGTAAATTTTTTGTTCCATCATCGCATATTGATATGAGATAAAAACTAGTCACATCTTTCGTATTTTGATGCATCAAAATAACTTGCCGAGCTTGTTGTGTAGCGTCAAAAAGTACGCAAGATTTGACTAGTTCTACTTCCCACACCTACTGGCGGGGAAGAATTGTAATTGCGAAGATTTCTGAAAATGAGTTATGTTTTTTGGATGTTATATGACATGTACATTACGGAAAGCAGTCACTTATTTCAGTCGGTCTGTCCGTTAATCTTATATCAGCCTATAACTTAAGAAGTACTGCTTGGATTTTGATGGAATTTTTGCATGATGTTACTACTTGGTGGTGGGGGTTGTATGAGACTAGGAGGGTTTATATCAATTTTTTGATGCTTGTACATTTATAGGGTCCCATCCTTGGTAATTATACGCACCTATTAGACATATTTGACACATCATAGATTTCTCAGGCAAACGGATCCCGTGCCGCTGACCAATAGTGCTGCTGCCGGCGGCACACTGAGTTCTGTACTGTTGTTCTGGTATGGGGTTACACGCTTTGCTCTATTAAAACGACGTTTCCAGATCCAGTACCGGTAGTGCAGGGAAATTATATCTATGGACTAATTGTATGGATTTGTTTGACTGACTTTTTTCTCAGAAGGTCTAGTTTGTGCTGAAGGTAATCTTTTATGAGTCAATAAAGGCGTTGCGTGGGAAATACAGAGTCATTATACGCGACGCCATTTTTTAAACATTCCGTATCAGTACGCCATGTACAAATAAAAAAGCAGAATAGAGTTCAGCTTTTTATGGTTTTTGATGGTTACGTCAAAAATTGATACGAAATAAGGCCAGTCTGTCTAGATAACTCGCGGCCATGTCGAATATATCGTCGATGGTCAAATAAGCAATTTGAGGTTGGAAAACTTTTGTATTTCAAGCTGACCTTCTTCTTTTATTACCAAGCTAAGTCGTGTCGTATTCCGTGTAAGGCCCTAACAGTTAAATAGCTATATGATGAGATACAGGTTTTATTGAATGAAAAGTATAGTCCGTAGGTTGAAAATGGATGATAAATATCCCACCATGAATCAAGGTCTAAAAAAAAGTAAGTTTGAACAAAAAATATGTTCACTACAAGTGATGGTCAATGAATTCATTTGAAAAGGAGTATCTACTTGGTGATAAAACACATTCATTTTCGACTAAATGAGAATCTTTTTGGAGTCATCTCTTATCTCTTTTATTCGCCTTGTCTGTCTTCTCGCTATATAATTACTCTTTGGTCAAATTATTGAAAATAGATGGAAAAGAGACATATTTGTTAGAAAAGTAGCATAGCACACCAACTTATGCCATTTTCTCCGCTCATGAAGGAACGAGCTTCTTTGACGTGAATCATATACCGGGAATTTATCATTTTGTTTACTACTCACTGGCACTCATTTCATGAGAATTCTTTTTTTCGCAGGAAAGAATGCTCGTGTATGGGCAGCGATTCGGTATAGTGGCCACCGAGTATAAAAAAGTATATATCGTTTTTCTATAACGGCGGGCAGACGTAGTTGACCACTCTCGATGGCAATAGTTATTTGTATACTGAGAGTCGAAAATTTTATTTTTTTTCTCGAGACATATGCTTGATCCTGGGATGTTTCGAGAGTAGGGCAAATAGTTTGTGCTCCATTTTGCATTCGATATAATTAACTATTTTTCGTACATTAATGTTGTAACAATGATAGCATCCATACATCAATAGTATCCACGAGCTATCTGTTCTTTTCCCGGTACTACTTCTCTTTCCGATGCTGTGTATATGCGCTTAGAAATATGCAGCTAGGATGAGACTTGGCCGTAGGAATTATTCTCAGGAGGAGCGATTTTAGACATCGACAAGAGAAAGATTTTTGTATATTTTCACACTGACTCAACCCGATTCTGAGGGGCCGCAATGGCTAGAATGCTCAAGCTAATTTTGGAAACTATAAACCACATCTTATTCAACAGTGGAACGTATTTATGCTTGTATTTACTGGAAATGACAAAAAGCTGATTTAAATCACGAAAAGCGATGTTTTGCGAGTAAGGTTGATAAAATATCAAATGGAGCATGCGATGCCCTTTTTTGATTTAGGAACTCAATGTTATTGTTTTTTTTCTCGGAAAAACAAAAAATCCTGACGGAACAAGGCTATCGAACAGATTTTTATGTTGGAGGTGGCAGCTGTTCACGTGAGCTACAAATTCCTCAAAATAGTTTATGATCACTTATTTTGATAAATGATTTTACGTTGAATTACATTAAAATCAAGGGGCTTTTTTGATACTCAAACAGTACATTATAATTTGATGTTGTCTCGTCTACAAACACTAGGATCATTTTATAATCTAGAATCATAACTGAAAAGCCTATTGGAACGACAATTTTTAGGTAATTTTCTGGAAATTTTGAAACAAACTCCGAAAGTTGAACCACAGATTGTACGACAGACTGAACCGCACGTAATAGATGTGTTTGATGTAGAATCATTTGTAGCATTAAGACAAAGAAAAATGAGAAGTCGCAGGCCAAAGAAAAATAGATTCGAGAGTGACGACTGTGTGATCCCAAAGGTAAATCGGTCTATTTGAAATCATGTTTCAGCAACACGACATTTGAAGGAAATAATAAAAAAATATAAACAATGCTTTTTTATACGATGATGAAGATGGACAAAAAAAGTTGTTTTTTTGTTTTTGACAGACTATTCCAGTGCCAAAGCCAGTGATTACCCAAGGCAGTTCAAGTATTCATGTAAAGGTTTGTGTCGACGAAAATGAAGTTTCTAATAACGATAGGCTAGAAAATCACAAGAATAGCAATGGCAAAGGTTACCTGGAATCACAATCTCAAGTGACACCGAAAGCTATTCCCGTGAACGATATGGCTCCAAAAGTAGGAAATGTTATTGCATTCAAGGTAAGAAACGTATCAGTAGTGCTTTCCATTTTTCTCCAATCATTTGGAGAAGTTTTGAAAAGTTGAAATACTCGTAGATTAGGTCTTGAACATTAAACCATAGGATGTATCATAAATCAGTATCAACCTTTTTTTGCGTGTTTGATGTTTCAGCATTCGGCAACAGTAAAGTTTATTTTAACAGGATAATACGTCAAATCTTCATTTCCAGAACAGCTGTTGGGTGATGTTCTGCTTCCAAGATATTACATTTTGAAAATTGTCATGTTTCAAGATAAACTAGTGAAAATAACCAATTAATTATTCAACCTTTTTTTGTAAAATGATATGTATGAGTGTCGCAAATCGATACATGTATAGTTCATTTCACGTTTTTTTGCGGTTACATCACAATCTCGTACAAAATAAGTAAACAGATTGACGAACTGTACCATGTGCTGAGCTAAACTCCCTAAGAAAAATTGCACTCTGCACAAGTCGATCCTTAACGCAGCTGCTACTCGCTCTTGCTCACACGCCTGGATTGGGTGATAGACACCGACTGTCGACATTATAATTGTATCTTCAGGCATTGCTATATTCTATATGACTCTACACAAGGTAAACTCGCACGCCCATGCCAATGAAGTTGTATTGATAGCGATAAGTATAAATGTGGAGGGCTAATACGTTAACGAGAAAATTTTCAAGGCGGCGCGGCGAGACAAAAGTAATGTGGGAGGGAGAGATGCATGGAATAGAAATGGACGATATCATTATTTTTAATGTCTGTAATAACTGATATCGTTAATTTTGGATATCAGTGAATTAAAACCGTAACGTGATAACGACTTTCGAATAACGATGAGATTGTGGGTATACTGAGCAAAATACCGCGATAAAATCGTATGGAGTTAACACCAAAGCCTATATGGCATGACATCGCTTCCGGTGGTATACGATTCTCAGCCTTAGCGGCTAGATATCATGGGCATCTCGCACATTGAAACGTTAACGGTATTTGGTAACAAACGAGATTCATGATTTAGAAATATCGGTTATTAAATCACAGTTCGTGAAATATCTGTCACCTCTAGTATGGAAGTAATTCCTGTAGTTATACTGTGACCCGTGAAGAGACCTATACTTCAGCATGTGACATCTGTTCTGAAAGTACTGTAGTTTGGGTATAAACACATGATGTGTTTCAGTAGAACTACAGCTATCGAATACTCAAAAAGTTGACTTGAGACAGGTGTGAAAATTTGTATTCTCAGTAAAGCTGATGGGAGCAATTCGACTAATATTTTCAAAATAGTTGCACTTCTGATTGTGATAGAAGTAGATACCAATTTGCTCATTTTAAAAAGGACACTGTATATTATTCACTTTTTGGATTCTACGCGAGATCTACATGCCATGTATATCATCCTATACTTACATCTAACAGTTGTGCCTTGTGATTAATAGTTTTCACCTAGTAAGTGACCTAAATTAGTAGATTTTATTTCAAATTTGGTTGACGTTTTCAAAAAAAGAGTTTTAAAACCTTCAAAATACATTCTAGGTAAAACTATCAGATCATAAAACCAATGATTTATTTCCTATATACATATTGTGCTAGATTTGGTTTTTTAATCGTAGGTTAACTGTAACTTTACTGCTAAGCGGAAGTGAGTCTGAAAAAGTCGATTTCACTGTCCGGTTTGTCTCAGAATCACCTATGGGTTAAACAGAGTTGTGGTTAAACCGCAATGACTAACCTTTTTTTTTTTTGGCTAGACGGTAGCTTGAGCTATCACGGAAGATCGCGCATCTCAAAACTCACAGAATACGATAGTTCAGACATAAAAGCAGCATCGCCGCGTGAACAATCATGGGTTAATTATCCAGAACTTGAGCGACGAGTTCACTAATAAGTTAACTTCCAAGTTATAGTTGCCTAATTTGGAAGATAATCTGCGGATGAAAAACCGGACCTTAGAGGAAACTTTGCGACACTCATAAGCCTAAACTTAAACTGTTCATCTTACAAAAAAGGTGAACAGATAAATTGTTTGACATTTTCTCTGGTTTGATACATTTGCATATTTATTAATCTTGAAATAAGTGAGAAACGAGATATGGTCTAAAAATGGTTATTAACCGTATTCACCAATTCGGCGTTTGCAGACTGATACCTATCAGTTGTACAACATATTAAACAATACTAGTATTCACCAGAAATTTTAAGTAGTACATCGAAAAGGTATCGACTTTCCCAAAGCTGTTTATGGCAAAGAATTTGAATAGATTAGAAGAAGCCTAATCTATATGTTTACATTGCATTGTTTGTCGACAAAACTGCGTAGTTTAAGTGCACACTTCTGATTCGTTTGCCTACCAGTGCCTACCAAAGTGACAGCGTTGTACCATGTACCATCTTGAAATCATCTAACGCCTCAATTATATGTAAAAAATCGCAGTTTCAAAAAATAACACTAAAAATAAGCTATCAATGACAGAACTGTCTAAAAATTGACTTGTCGCAAGTGCACTTTGATTCTCACTACGGACAAACATATCCTTGACATGCTCTTTCTATCTAGTCTGAATTCGTTGGCTTAGACAATTCCCTGTTTGAACACCGAATGATTGAACTACTTGGATTTCAATGAAGAGTTAGACTATAAGTGAATATGTTTGTTGTATCATTACTGCCATGGTATAAAAATTTATATAAAACCGAGATATCACGTAGCACTATAATGGGTTGTATATTGGTTTTTGTACTTTTCAGGTACTTAAAATGTCAGAAAACTACACTCCTGAGGTATCGGCGCAAATAACTGGGAAAGTAGTGGACTACAATCCTTCAGATGGATCTGTAAAGTTTGATATTATTGGTTGGTACACAAACATTTTTTTCCATAATAGTATCTTAATCTCATTAAAATATTTTCAGCTGGTTTGGATGAACTCAAGGAACCAAATGGAAAGTTATTTATAGCAGAGAACGATGATGTCAAACAAAACCAAAACAAAGAGTTTAAATGGAATGCATTGATAGAGCCAAGACTTTTTAATTAGAATTTGTTTTTATAATAGTCTGTACTATTTTTCTGATAATAAACTTTTAATCTTTATTGTTCGAGTTTCCATACAACAAAAAATTTATATCATACTATAGGTAGCGTTTATTATCACGAAACGCTGCAAACCGATGAGTTGAGTACGTTTATACATTTGTTTGATTACAAAGATATTGCTTAATCATACATGATATTTCAGCTTATGTGGTGAAACGGCCAACGCACAAACGCAAAACTTTCAAGATGGTAACATTTGTAATATTGGCTGCATTCACTAGCACTCAGCAGGGTTGCGTTCGTGAATTGTTACAGGAATGTAATTTGTACTACAGGGTAACAATTTCAGCGTTCATAATTGTCAGATGTACCTGTTTCATGCGTTCGGAAATAGACCAAGTTAATCCTTCTTGAACGTCAAAAGTGCACGTTTCTTTCCGTGCTCAGAGCCTTGGTAATGAGAGCGTTGTCACTTGTTATTCTCATGGTTCATTGTTTGTTTACTTTATTTGGCTATCAAAATGTGCTCAAAATTGTCACAATATATTTTTCGTAAATGGGCTACCTCTTATTCATAGTATCTCTGATAATAAAAATGGCGTCAATAACGTTCCCACGCAACGCCGTCATCACTTCATAAGGGATTAAGTTCAGCACAAGTTAAACCCTTTGAGAAAAAAAAAATAGCTTCGAACATAAACACTAGAGAAATTAAACGGACCAAGTTAGTCAAAAATTCCCATACAATTAGTTCATAGACATTCTTTCCATGCTCGTCCATCTGGCAATGTTGCTCCTTCCGTTATAGTCAGTCGCGGCAGCGCCCACCGAATCACCGCCACAGCACAAGCAGGCCGTTACGCTGGGCGCTGAGCCCAGGTCGCTGAAGGAGACGCGTATCAGTTTTAAAGACAAATGTACCGGGAAACCTATGATGTGTGAAATATAGCTAATGGGTGCGTAGAATTCCCGCAGGATCTCTTGCAATTAGCCCCTCAAGGGGTATTGAGTATGCCTCAGCAAGTAATGTTGGAATGATTCTGTTAACAATAGGTGATTCTGATAAATTGAACTCTGATGGTGGAAGTATACGAACCTTTCTCATAATTGGCATCTGATGGTGGTTGCTGTGGAGCTCATCCTATTGGTCCGTCAGCTGTGTACAACATTCGAGCTAGTCGGCGGGGAAAGGTGCCGATGCACAAAGGGCCCATAACAGGCGTTTGCTTGGTTCTACCGTAGTGGTGCATCATCTTTCGCCGAGGAGGACTATCTTGTTGAATTCCCCTATTTTCTAGGTCTATGGTTATAGAAATTCTGTTTACAGTAGGTGACTCTGTGGTGACGGATCCAGCTCCTTGCGGGATGCGAGTCTCTTCTTTGGCTAAGGCGAGGTACTCCTTGTCCATACGATGGTGGATTTGATGTTGGTCAGCACTGTTGCCACCACTATATCTTGCAAGAAGTTCTTCTGGTCCGCAAGCAGATTGGCTTCGATGTTGGCAAGCCTGATGAAAACTTCTGCTTCCAAATGCGGCGGTTTCTTCCAACTACCTATTGTACTGATAGGGTGGTGGCTTGGTGTGCAGCTTTGTGCCAGGATATGATGATGTACATCTTCTGTAATGATTTTGTACGTCTTTGATGATAGGGAATTGCTGACCACAAGGACAGGTGTTGGTCGGTCGGCATAGTCTGTTCGGGGGTGATATGGTTGGGGTTTACCAACTGTTGGGGCCATCGGAGCCAATTTACCGTCATTCCCATCTGCAGAAACTGCGCATTGCACTCAGTGATTGACCTCTGTTTCGCACCGCGTGTAGAAATATGCGATGGCGAGCCGCTGGGTTGACGGAGTTGGTGGATTGGCTATCCATACCTAGATGGCATTGCAGCGCTGATGAAAAAGTATACAACAATAAAGTGGTAAGTTATTGTATCTGCCCGGGAGTTGAGGTAGGGGATTGTACCTCTTTCAAAGTGGAGAGAATGGCCCTGGGATCATTACCCATTACACGGAATTGCGGGATCACCTAAAGCAAAAGGTAGAAGTTGTTCATCAGAAAGCGAGAAGCTGTGGGATTCGACTGATTTACTAAGAACAGATGCTAGAGGTGTTAGAGTCTGCGACGACATCGGAAGTTTGGAATTTCGGGTAATTGATACAAAATCACAATTAAAAAATCTCGAAAGCTATTGATTTTTTTAACTTTACATATATGGGGTGAAAATTTTTGCATTTTAGGTCCCCTATCACGCCGTGAAAGGAATACGGCAAATTAACCGTAATCCTGTATAACTCGTGCATGTTGACTATACATTATCAGAATATCTGTCTTTGACCATGAGACCAATGGAACGAAGTGCCTTTGCTCTGGATGTATTTTTCATCAAACTCCACAAAACATACGTGACAAACATCATGTAAAAATCCACAATATACGTAATGTTCGTTCAAATTAATACATCCTGCTTTTTCTTTAAACCTTTTGCTGGGGGATATGTTGATTACAATCGTCTAGAGGAAAATAAGTTATTTTCTTTCCTTAACAATTTACCAGCATATTATGTGTTATACTCATGATTTGAAAGTTTATCAACTCACCAAAAAGCATGCAATAATAATGGCTAAAATGTATGGGTAATGTTAAAAATATACGCCGCCATATTTTTTGGGTGTAGGAGTGAAACGGAAATGGTACTGAAGGCAGTTTTAAACTTGACACCGACAATCAATCTGCTGGATAAGTTGCCATTTTTTTGGTATCCACAGTGTTGCTAGATAGTGCTCCGGCAACACCGCCTTGATTCCCATTCTCCAATATAAGTTAACTCCCCATGTGCTTGACGAGGTCTGCCTAATAAAGAGATTCGACATTTGACATGTAACTTGCCAGTTGCCAGTACCGCCCTTTACCTACATTCCTTATGATGCCCCAGTTTGCTAGGACTCATTGTAAGGTACTGTATATGTATAGTTGCTGGTTGACGTCCTGAAATATATGCTCTTTACCGGAAAGCAGTGGTAGATGTACCATCTGTGCACAAATTTTATCTAATCTGTGGCCCTATATATCGCACTCGGGGGCCCTTTGATCTTGGGGCCCGACGTACAGTGCGTCGTGTGCTTCATCTTGTTGGCCGCTACAGGTAACTAGCGAGCATTTATGATATACTAATATTTAGCAAAAATGAAGGTTCTTATCATTTTTTGACTATATCTACACTACACTGAGATAAACATGAGAAAGCAGTTGAATGTCTCATTATTTGATAGAATTTAGCGAAACAACCGTTTTTGTTCTTCATACGAAGTCCCACATCGCAAGAGTTGGTCGTTCCGTTAAGGTTCATGTGACTATGCGTGCTGTTCCACCAGCTGAGCAATTTTGTTTCTATCGTTTCATGGCTAATAAAAAGCCTAAATCACAGGTAACCAGTAATTATTGTGCTAACATCAGAATACAGTTAAGAGTCGAGTAAGTTGACTATATATTGGTCTTCATCCCTGAAGACCGGTGGCCGAAAGGGGTTAAATTATCTCGTTCATAAAAATTTTTATCTTGCTCCATGTTGTCAATAATTTTTCCACCGTCAACATTTTACAAACTAAACTGCTTAAATAATAATTGATAGATTAGAGTCTTCTCCTCGTATTTACTAGCAAAAAATTTAGAGAATATAAGCCGTTTTCCCTTCAAGTCGTGTGAGACCTTTTAACCAGTTTAGACAATATATTCTTAAGGCCTACGAGTAAAAGCACTTATGTTTCAGATCAGACGTGGCAGCATAAGACCTGGCATAAAAAACAACATAGTCATTTCGTTTTATATTTTTACCCACTCGTAGCTCACATATAGCGGTTTTGGATTTGAAAAAAGCAAATCGTTTTTGATAACATGTAACCTTCCACACAACCATGCGCTGTTATATCCGAGTTTTGAAAATTTTACAAAACTGCGAGGAAAAGTAGTTTGGAAACTTCCGCCTCCGTATCAACGCTCTGTACTTGACACACTCGTTTCGCCAGTCTTCAGTTTTCTGTTTCATAGTTCTTATATTTTTCGTGCATCTACATAACGGATCTTCTTCTATAATAGTCTCTCTACGAGGTTCTTCGTATTTTGAAATCAGGTTCATCTAAAAGGATATAAGTGAGACTTAACAAAATTTTGGTAAAGTGGTTTTGCAACGTTAAGCCTGAAAATAACGTAGCATTTAGGAAATACTAGGTCGTAATATTGTAATTTAACCTAATAGGGCTTTTTAAATTTGGGTATCGGTACGAAATAAAGATAGTGTTCTTCTTAAGCATTCTAGAATGATACGCATGACTTTGATGTATTGACCGATACTGAACAGTTTGAAGCAGAGCGTATATAACGAACAGTAATATTGTCGACGAATTGACCGATCTCCGTGTGAACTATGCGTCGTAGCTCTAGGTTCTGTGGGTAAAAAACAATAGAAATCATTCTATGCCAACAAGACAGCGGACAAAGATGAATATCGTCAAATAACGCTGTGGTCAAATTTCTAATTTCACTAGCCTGGGCGGATTTTCAAAATTGAGTTAATTATCCTGAGAAACAATTCATAAAAAAAAAACAAAATCAGATACCCTAACCAGTAATGCATTTGTTTTTTGTAAGTCATCAGTTGCATAGCAAATATTTGCCTGTTTTCTTCTGCAGAAGTCATATAATACCATAAGTTCTACGTCAAACGGTACTTATATAGTTTGAGTCGCGAAAAATGTTCGGTAACTCAACCGTTTATATACCTCTACCCTCCGACACCCTATAGTTTTATATGAACCTGTCATGTTATGCTACAGGCACATCTTGTCAAACGTCAGGTATACTCGTTCTAATACCAGTGGAAAGTAGAAAGTAGTAGATAAGAGGTAAGACAAAAGTACATGAAACGAAATTTTACTATATTCGTCACACTTAAGAGTTCAATATTTCTGCATTTCTTTAAGCATCCGCTACACTACTCGCGAAGTTGCTTCGTCGAAGTATTTGTCTAAGTTGGCCGAAGTATGTGGCTATACACTCGTTCAACTTGGCGAACCAGGAAGCAGGCTAAGTCTGGTGAAGTGCCCAGCTGACAGCTGCTGAGTCGCCCGCACGCTAAACAACATGAATGACGTTCGAATTGCTGCTGCCGTTTCAATGCGTACTCTCGCGTATTTTAATTATGTGCGTTATTCATTTCATCAAAACTACTTACATACGTGCATGATAACGTTTCGATACGAACTGACGTAAGCCGAGCAGTGTAGCGAGATACTTCGTATAGACGCTTCGGTACCCTTCGAGGTGCTGCGAGTCATTTGACTCGGGCCCAAAAACCGACAACGATCGGAAGTCTCCCTAGTCGAAGCGAGGTAGCTCGAAGCGAATTGAAGCGCCTCGATACACAGGCTTAGTCGCTTGCCTTTGGCCAACTTCGCGAGTAGTGTAGCTGAGAGATTAGGTATTTGTTTTTTCAAATTTACCGTTCTCACGTTTGATTTTTTTAAATAGCCGATTCAACACCCAAAAAAAAATTGAGTAAGTGAAAACATACAAAAAACAATATGATCGCGATTTTTAGGTCTATGTCTTTATTATGATTTCTTCATGTTCTTCTTTATCAGAACAGAAAACATATAAATGAACTTTACTAACCAACAAAAAAATCTCACCGTTTTTAGATCTTTGAAGTTGAGTCATTAATTTTCAGATAATGATTATAGAAGGAAGATAAACCAAAATATGTGTGTAAAAATAAAAAAAAATAAAAAAAAAAATTACCTTGTTTTATAAATTATCCTCCCGACAAGTATTTCAGTGCGGACCTGTATTTGATCGTGAGGTCTTGGAGCACCGGCATGCCCTCCCCTGTGAGGTCTTAAGTCACCTGATTCACGAGCCCGTTGTACTACATTAACAAAGGCACGAGGGGTTGGTTGCACTCGATTGGGAAACCGATCCGCATAAACATGTGGCATTTTTTATTTCGCTTGAGCCACGCAGCAAACACCACTATTCACTCGCGCGTTACCGACTGACACATTGACTGAATAAAAACATCGTGATCAGCGTTTCAAATTCTTTCGCTTTTTTGTTTCCGATGCGATGAACCGATAAGGCGGATTATATCCGTTGTTGCCAAACACGAGCACATAATATTATTATTGAGACAGGGCGGTACTCAAACTTCTAAAGGGCTATAACTTTGTTACTTTAATTTTACCACCAAAATGTTAAAGGAAAAAAACATTTCTTTTGATCAGATCTACTCACTGCTAAAATAAATGACTCAACTTCGAAGTCACCCTGTATACAGGGTGTTTCAGTTTATTGTTGCATAACTTTAAGATTCGATAGAACTTTTAAAATTAATGCATAAAGTCTATATAATCATGGGTCGACAAATGTGTGGCTTCCGAAATACAGGGTGTTTAAATTTACTTACTAAAATAGTTTTTTTTTAAATATTTCGAACAATATTTGATGTATAACAGTGAAAATTGGTATACAAGGGTTTTTTGGTACGACAAAACGAACCATGGGCATATTTTTACTGTAGCCGCTAGAGGGCGCTCTCTACTGTACCTGTAGTGTATTAAAATGACCGAAAAAAATTTTTTAGTGCAATTTTTTGCTTTTTGAATAAAAAAACTGATTCTTCGCACTTTTCTGCATAAAAAAGCTCTCCTGTGAGTTTTCGTTGTAGTTAGCCGTTTTTGAGATATTTCGATTTTTAAAGTTCGATGCCTTTTTAATTATTTATGGGAAAATAATATTTTTTTCGATTTGGGCATTCCAAGTAATTAAGATGATCGTTTAGATTGTGTTTTTAAACACAGCAATAATTCCTAACTCCAAATAAACACAAAAACCAGAATATTAATTTGTTTAATTTTCCAATATTATTTTTAACAAATTAAATTAATTATTTACAACTAAAATGCTATTGGATGGTTAGGACAAACATAAAAAATCTAAAATAGTTGCTCGAAATGTAAACCCAATTGTTCAATGCTCAATTCACATCTACGAATGATCGAACGTAATAAGGCCTTATTTCATCACATGCATTCCTGATTCTGTCTATTAGCATATCTCTTGTGGTTACGGGAGTCTGGTACACCTTTTCTTTTAGAAATCCCCACACAAAGAAATCTAATGGATTTAGGTCAGGGGATCGTGGAGGCCAGGCGACTGGTCCTCCACAGCCGATCCATCTATCTGGATAATTTTCGTCCAGCCAGTTTCTAACTATTCTCGAATAATGAGCTGGACAACCATCAAGCTGGAACCAGGCCAATCTTCTTAAATCTAACATAACATCATCCCACATATTTGCATGTTCAGCCTTTAAAAATTCCAAGGTCGCAGCATTTAACCTTGCAGGAAAAAGGTAGGGTCCAAATAGTCGATTACGGTAGATACCAATCCACACGTTCACACTAAATTCATGCTGAAAATTTCTTTCCCGAACTGCATGCGGATTTTCATGCGACCAAATATCTTGATTATGAAAATTTACCACTCCACGTCTAGTGAAGCATGACTCATCGGTCCATAAAACGTTACATAAAAACTCCCTACTATTATCAGTTCTATCAAGAATCCACTGACAAAATGTGATTCTTCGTTCTCCGTCCCCTAGCTGTAGTCCTTGCACAGGTTGCAAATGGTAAGGACGTCTATGGTCATATCTAAGAACACGGTGAACATGGCTTGCTGAAATTCCCATGGCACCAGAAACTCTCCTAACACTTGTGGGCGGATCTCTATCAAACTCACGCAGAATCATACGGGTAAATCTGCGCTGACGAACATTTATGTTTTGATCCCTTTGGAGATTTCCAAAACCATTTTCGATTATTTGGCGATGCACTCTTACAAATACTGAGCGAGTTGGATGTCGTCTTTTTGGAAATCTTCGTGCGTATTCTCTGGCTGCTTCTGCTGCGTTTCCATTTACAAAGCCATACACAAAATGAATATCCGCTAAGTCTTGATTGGAGATTAAAAATGGCATTTTTATAAAACTTACAAAAAAATACAGGTAAAAGAAACTAAATTTCGTGCATTCACAATTGCAAAAAAACTTTTCAGGTTTCAACAGACAACAAAACTAACTGTCAACTAATTGACGTTTAACCTTATTCTGCTTTCAATTTCAAAAATATTTGCAGGCACTTTTTAACGTTATTTTATCATAAATAATTAAAAATGGATCGAACCTCAAAAATCGAAATATCTCAAAATCGGCTAACTATAACGAAAATTCACAAGAGAGCTTTTTTATGTTGAAACGTGCGAAGAATCAGTTTTTTTATTCAAAAAGCAAAAAATTGCACTAAGAAAATTTTTTCGGTCATTTTAATACACTACAAGTACAGTAGAGAGCGCCCTCTCCCGGCTAAAGTAAAACTATGCCCATGGTTCGTTTTGTCGTACCAGAAAACTCTTGTATACCTATTCTCACTGTTATACATCAAATATTGTTCGAAATATTTACAAAAACTATTTTAGAAAGTAAATTTAAACACCCTGTATTTCGGAAGCCACGCATTTTTCGACCCATGTTTATATAGACTTTATGCATTAATTTTAAAAGTTCTATCGAATCTTAAAGTTATGCAACAATAAACTGAAACACCCTGTATATATATATATATAACATAAGCTAATCTCTACATTAGGATGTCTTCTTGCCGTTGCTTAGCATTTTAGCAACCTTGATTTACGATAACCTGTGACATCCGTGGTTTACAGGTCTTCATCAATAATACGGCGCGTTGTTGTCTCCGATACTTTATTTCGTATGGATTCTTTAAGTTCTATTCGAATCCGACACATTCTCTTTTTTCAAGATACTCATATACATTTTTTTACAAAAAGTCCTCCTACTTATTTTTTGAATAGATTAATTTATTTAAAAATTCACACTAAAATTTCGATATGTGGAACCCCATTTTTAAGATCTTTATTAGTACTTTATAACTCTAGAATATATATTTAAATCATAATCTTTTAAAATGGCGGACTAGCGCGATGTCGAAAATTAACCATCGACAACAAAAATAGAAACCTATTGTAGAAAACGACAGACAGACGCGGCAGCTCCCACCGAAG